CTTATTTTACTTTTAGCTCTTTTGAGCCTCGTCACGAAGGCAACAGCTCGTCCGCAAGGATCAGGTAAATGAGGCTAAGTGCCATATATTTAAGCAAGAAATAATACATTTTCTTATTTGGAAAGATTCTACTTGTGGCCCAAATGCAAATTTCACAAATTGTGGCACTGCTTGTCCATCTAAATGTAGCGACAATCCACTGCTGGGAACAATTTGTACTGATCAATGCGTAGTTGGCTGTCAGTGTAAAGATGGATATGTGCTGAACGATGCTGGAAAATGTGTACAGAGGAGTGAATGTTGATTAAAGCTCCCTTTATATGTTTACATAAATGTCTCTGTTCTTAAATAGTCTTTTGTAAATTGTAGCTTTTGGCACGCAATTATTTGTAAACCAAAATAAAAAGGTAAAATTTGCAGGAGCAAGGAAAATTTAAATAAAATAATGGCTTAAATCCTGGGCTGTACAAACTACTTATATATATATATGTATGTTTAATGAAAGAAAGGCGAAAAACACTATTTCAATATTTTACGTTTGAAGCTTCGATGTGATCTGCGCAATCCACAAGAAAATTCCCCTGTCATATGCGTCAACTATAGCGAGATCAGCCTTCTGGGCATCGGCTAAAAGGTTTTAACGAGCATATTGTGTGAAAGCCTAAAGTCGAACGAAATTATACTAATTGGCTTCGTCAGTGTTGATACATACAGTCTCCATTTATTGGAAAATACTGGCGATGTAGATTTCAAAGCCGCTTTCTACAGTAAGAATGTCTGAAGTTGATATCTCCGCGAAACGAATGATTCCGCTGAGTAAAATGTCCTTGTGCAAGACCACGAGTGCGAGTACGAATTTAAATCTTTCCATACTTGCAGCAACTTTAATTCAAGGAGAGAGCGCCATTTAAGTTTTTTATTTTTTCTGTTGAATAAATATCAATCGGCAATTTCGTTGCAAAAAAAATGTAATTCCCATTTTGCGAAGGAAATCAATGCAAAGTGGGAAAACCTCTGAGTGAATTTTGTGCATCAATTGCGAGAGTTATTGTAAACATTTTATTTGTTAGTGAGAGCAAACATACACATGCATATGTATTTATTTATACACATTAGGGTGGCTACGACAACAAAAAAAAAACAAAAAAAAATCAATAAGATCAGTACGATTTTTCAGCCGGACTTCACTTTTGCACTTCATTAGACTAAAATTGTATGGGCTGTAAAACTACATACCCGAAAATGTTGATGGAAATTTATAGAATCTCTTAAGTTTTATATATAAGCGTGGAACTGTGGTATAGTATATGGTTAAAGTCTTGACAATATATGTATAGAAAAAATAAGTTTTACTCGAAGACCATTGTGAGTGTTAAGAAAAATCAACACGTGGCCACTTGTTTGAGTCACTGTGTTTTTTTATTTTTTATTTTATTTATTTTATTTTTTTATTTGATCGCTACTTTTTGATGTTTTGCTTTTGGACCGCATAACAACTGTTATTTTCAGATTTCCTTTTCTATATACTATGCAGGGAATTTAAAATAAATGTGATAGATAAAATTCAAGCGAAAAAATTTAAAATCAAAATATAGCAAAATTTTGCACAACTTCATTTGCTGTACTTGTTTACACCAATTTTGGGTAAATCTCCAATGCTGTGATCCAGAATTTACAAATAATTAGAAACGATTATCTTGAGCTCTCGACTTTTTATATGATAATTTTTGTTAACTTTTTTCCAAGATAAAATAGGGAAACACATATTATAAATGCTGGTAAACCTGCACACTAGATAAAACATTCAGTCAAGGATAGTATAGCGCAAAATAAAACTAGAAAAATAATAACCACCCTAATGCAAAACATACATTTATGTATATGTACGTGTGCAGTGAGTCGTTAAAAGTGTTAATATGTTTCCGCATTTTAAGAACAGGTGGAAAGATAAAAAAAAATATTTTGTAAAGCTTGACACTCACCTAGGACTTCGCATTAGGGTGATCTTAGCCGATATTTTTGGCTCGTGGGTAAAAAAATTAAATAAAAAGTTTTAATTCATACGCGAATTCAAAGAATCGTTGTATCGTCTAACTGTAACTAGCTCAACCGTAATAAGTACTGGTGGATTCTAACTTTATGAAGACAGTAATGCACTCCAATAAGTTTTAATTATCTTTACAGTATCACAATTTTAATTTAAAAAGCTCACTTTTGGGGCTTTATAATGAAAAAGATTTAGACCTAAATATAGCTATCAATTAAACAGCAGCCCCAATGCATTCCCACACATATTTATTTTCGAGTATCTCATTAATATACTTACTATAAATATGCATGTATGTACATATGTATGTATTCAGAATCATCTGCTTGCTTGCCGCTCACAGAATATTTTGTTTTGTTTCTATAAAGTATAAATAAGAGTGCAGTGAAATGCTGCTACAACTAAAGTCTTTCTTAGCTTCTACGGCAAACTACATAACACCACTCGATTGCTGCTTTAAAAAATGAACAATAAATTCAATTTGCTAATTTTGCTCCTTTTGTGCTTCGTTGCGTTCATAACAGCTTTACCGCAGAGAGGTAGGCGAGCAGAATTTGACATTAATTTAATTTACTAAATCGTTTAAATATAATTTAAAGGTTGGCGCCCCTGTCCACTCGATCAAGAGTTCACAAGATGTGGCTCCGCCTGTCCACCAACATGTGATGACCGAGGTGAGCCGAGGATCTGTACACTTCAATGTATAGTTGGTTGTCAATGCAGACCTGGCAATGTGTTGAACAGCGCTGGGCGTTGTGTAGACCCAAGCAAATGTTAGCTGAATTAAAAGGTGATCAAGGAGATTGCATAAATCATACGCGATTGGGTTACTAGTTATGTAGGAAAACGCAAAAATTGTATGGATATGCAGCTGATATTGAATAAAACGTGACCGAAAATATTGCAAGTGAATATAATTTCTTAAATGGAGAGAGTGTCTATTTAAATTTCGTCAAACAGTTTGCATTTTTAGGTATTCCACTCTCTATTGAAGCTAGTCTTTGACTGATTTTATTTAATTCAAATAAAAAAATGTTTCTTTAATTTGATACATAAATTATTTTCAGTTTAATATGTGGCTGCTTCTAGTGGGATCAAGGCAATGTGAGAGCTTTCCATATAACTACGCGTTCTCGAGGGGCATGTTGATATAAATATGTACATATAACGGGTGATTTTTTAAGAGCTTGATAACTTTTTTTAAAAAAAAAAACGCATAAAATTTGCAAAATCTCATCGGTTCTTTATTTGAAACGTTAGATTGGTCCATGACATTTACGTTTTGAAGATAATTTCATTTAAATGTTGACCGCGGCTGCGTCTTAGG